ACATAACTGACTGGAAATAAACCGCTTTTCCCGTAAAGAATACCTTCAAACCAATTGCTATCGACTTTGGACTTCAATTCAATCACATCTCCCTCTTTGAATGAGAGCTCATCCGGACTCTGGGCCTCGAAGTCATACATTGCGCGACACTTTGGTTTCGGTTTATCTAATAATTTCGGTCTTTCCGCTGGTTTTGGTCTCTCAGTTGGTCTGATTGACTGATTTGATCGGTTTTGTGCCATAGTTTGCGACATATTTAATGATATCTTTTGTGATAACATTTTCACATTTGTCGGACTGTTATCGGAAACACTAGAAGAAGTGTTCACTTTCTTAAAACTCTTCTCGGCTTTATTGATATCGTTGTTTAGTTTCACTAAACCTGTGATACCGTTGTATTGCGCGACCGTATCGTTAGCTTTGTTCACAGTTGACGACCAGATATCGGGTAAAGCGTTTCCATTGGCACCGTTTGGCACTTTGTTTCCCTGTAGTCTCGACGCCAGACCTCTTAATACATTCGCGCACTCGTTATGATAGTCATAGAGAGCCTGCGAGAGGTCTACCATATGCTGTGACTGTTCCTCTTCGTTGTCCAACAGGTTCTTCATCGCAACGGTCGCCAAATTAAACGACTCGTTGTATTTGCTTTCGGCTAACTTCACGTCCGGGTCGTGATCTTGAGATGACTGACGAGATATCTTACGTCTCTTGCAGTCGTAGTCTAATCTCCTGCCCTCGAGTTTCTTCCGGTGATGCATACAATCGTTTATATCTTTGGTCTGCAATCGATTCAATGGATCCAAAAATCTAGTCTTAACTCTGTCTTCAAATTTAGACTTAATTTCTGTCAATTCCTTAAAAGTTTCTCCGACTTCAACCAGACTTCGGCCAAAAGCTGATCCATCTTTGAGTTGAGTGCCGTATTTGGTCATACATTCTCCCAAATCCTTTTCCGGGTGCGGATAACACGACTTTCTGGTGCTATTAATCCTCGAATTGACAGCCATTCTGGCCCTAAGGGCGGGGTTCGGGTGCAACACTTCCTTAGTCTTACTGACCATATCGTCGACCACAGCGTGGATCACATCTGTCTGTCTCTCTAACTCGATGTACTCATCGGTAGCTTTGGTTCCCTCGGCGTTACCGATCTTTTCGCTCACAAATTGATTCGCTTTATTCAACTGCTTCTTAAGACCGGCCAAAGACATGTCTCAACACACACTATGTTATCAACACTTATGATTAAAAACACTATTATATAAAAAAAACTTTAAAATACAAAAACTTTTCACACTTTAATGACATTTAATTGGGTTTCAGATAACGATAGAAATAACATTTTCCAAAGTGTTTGCAGAGAATAAAATTGATAGTAATTAATGGGTTGAGACCACAGATGGGTTGCCTAATAAGCATTCACTTCTCAAATGACAACTTTTTTCTCTCATATATTATTAAAACAAACTTTTTTCTCCATTCAATTCAAATTGAGTGAAGAATCGTTAAAATACATTAAAACAACTCAACAATTAAAATGGATGGTCATTTGTATGTGTGTTTATTTACACCGATGTATTTAATATACACAGTACAGTGTATAGTGTATTGGTTACGTTAGTGTCTAATAAAAATGTGCAATAATTGGTGTGCCTGTAAATCTACCTGGTGTTTATATGGAAACTAGTTTTTTACGATTCCTTATCGCAAATCAAACTAATCCTAAACTTTTATCTCAATATTCAGGCCTAAGATGTGATGCGCTTATAGTGTCTGCCATTGGATGTCATCACTCGTTCATTCACTCAATCCTTACCATTACTCACATAACATGACAGCAGTGGAGGGGAGGGAGAGGTATGCCATCGCATAACATAAGCGGTTGTATAGGAGTTGAAAGCAGTTATAATTAATGACTAAACTTATGGGGGAATCAAAATGCAAATACATTCACGACTTGTATGTGTGGCTCATAAGCACGTGATTTCGCGATTGCAAGTAAACAAATAGATATTTCGTTTGTCATCTCTTGTTTGTGTTGACCACCGATTGTCACTCATTATCACCACTCGTGGACTCGTGCTGTTCATCACACCATCAGAGATAATGTTGACCAGAGATGTGGAGATGACTGGTTCGCTGCCGAAGGAGTTGTTGCTCTCCAAACACATCCACTTTCTTCGCAAATACGCCGACAATAGTAATGAAAATTACGAGCAATTGATGGTCGAGTACTTGAGAATGAGTGGCATCTATTGGACCACAACTGCTCTTCAGCTGATGGACAGCGACTTTGACAAAGGTTTGTCACAACTCATCCACTCTTCACATCAGCCTTCTTATCGTTATGTTCACTAAATCCATGTCTCTCTTCACCCATAGCTGGAAGGGCTGACATTCTGGCGATGATCAAGACGTGTGTCCACCCGAACGGTGGCATAAGTGCGGCCAAAGGTCACGACCCGCACCTGTTGTACACGTTTAGCGCCATTCAGATAATGGTGTCGTACGACGCCCTCAACGATCAGATTATAGATATCGACAAAACAGCCCAATATATCAGATCTCTTCACAAAAGTGACGGCAGTTTTATGGGCGACTCGTGGGGCGAAGTGGACATCAGGTTCTCGTTCGCTGGGATCGGGAGTTTGGCATTACTCGGCCGCTTAGATACCATTGATTTGGACAAAACCATTGATTACGTAATGTTGTGCTACAACACCATCGATGGCGGCTTCGGCTCACGACCGGGCAGTGAATCACACGCCGGACTCATATACTGCTCGTTAGGTATTGTATTCAATAAATAAATTCAACTGACAATTGATTTACTGACTGAGGAATTGTGTCCATTTGAATGACAGCGAGTCTGTCAATAGCGGGTCAATTGGATCGGATAGACGCAGACCTATTGGGCTGGTGGTTGGCTGAGAGGCAGCTGCCGTCGGGCGGACTTAACGGTCGGCCGGAGAAGTTGCCGGACCTGTGCTACTCGTGGTGGGTGTTGGCGTCGTTGACAATCATCGGGCGCTTGCATTGGATCGATAAACACAAACTGTTGCGCTTTATTCTGGCGACTCAGGACGAAGAGACCGGTGGCTTTGGTGACCGACCCGGCAATATGGTTGACCCCTTCCACACACTCTTCGGACTCACGGGTCTGTCTCTGTTGAGCCATCAGTACAGTTGCGATCCAAACGAGTCGATCCCCGCCGACCACAACACCGACGATGGCTTTGATTACGCGAATCAATGGAAATCCATATCAGAAAAGATTAAACAAATAAATCCAGTCTTTTGTATGACTCAGAGTGTAATCAATAGAACTAATATTAAACTACAATACCTTTCGCTTTAATTAATTGTTTTGTTAAACATTTCATAATTTATGTCTTTATTATGTATTTTTATATTTAATATAAAAGAAATAAATGTTTAATATATCAATTGTATTGAACAACAGCTTTAATGAATCGCAAATCAATTACAGATAAAAATACTTAAAGAAAATTGTTTATAAATATAGTTTAACATAAAGAAAGAAACGATTGACACATATATAGAGAAGAAAACAATTCAATTATTTAATTACAAAATTAAGAGAAAATATTGTGAGATATTAGATGACTGAACAATGGGTCTAATCATTGTTTGGTTGTGCTGTTAGCGCCCAAATCTTCGGCGGATCTAATGGATGGCTCCTTAGGGGTTGTAGTTATTGCTTCGGATGACTCTCCTCCCCAACCAACTACTGTCGACATTTCACTGCCCTTAACCCCCGCCGGCTCTTGACTATACTTCTCATCAATTTTATTATAGGCCTCTTTCTGGCCCAACGCATGGCTCACATCATATGCTTCACCAAAAGCCTCAGTTTTCAAGTGTTTCCCCGAATCCGATGCGCTGGGAGTGAGGTCTTTGACCCCCTGTTCGACCACTTTTCGGGCATTTGGTTGTCCTCTAAATGCTAAGACATATCGTATAAAGTCTGGTCTACTAATCCATATCACGCCTAACACTAGAGCACACATACAAACAATGATAATCACTGTAACAACAATTATCACGTATATGTTATAATCATTCCCTGTGTTTGAGTTCAAGCATTGCATTTGAGTGTTGTTTGAAGTGTCCGCAGAAACGAGTCTTAACCACACAATTATGAGTACAATTGTGGACCAAAAACGGAGAGTACAATCGGTTCCCGACATACGGTTTATGCGATACATGTGTTCGTGAAACTTCTGGCCATGACTTTCGTGATTATCATCTGAACATAAATGACAACAAACACTGGTTTGTAATGATATTCAAGTTATGGTTTCGCAGACAACCGACGCATACCTCTCACCACCTCGTAGTCTTCGAACTGTTCAATGGGTCCAATGCATGACACGACCGGACATCTCTTATTCTCCAACTCATCGATCACTTCATGCAAATCCATCTCAAAGTCGGCCATATCTGAGAACATAGCGCTCTGATCGACGGCCGCCGGGAATGTCGACACGTCCTGACTGTCGGCCGGAAACGACTGCGAGAGTACGGCGTCTTCGATGGAAGGCGTGCCCACATTCACGGCTGACATCACTTTATACTCTTCTATCTTATCGTATAGTCGTTTGCCTATAGATTGAGAGCAGAAAACAATTCATAAAACAATACATTTAAGAGTCATTTCTGGTGTAATACTTAAATAAGCGTTTGGTTTCACAAAACGTATACATTTGCCGAAATGATAGCCAGAGTTAAGTGAATACATATAGAAGCCGTCCCTAAACCTGTCGGCCCTAACGCTCACATTAAACAGTACTATAAAGTCAAACGGTTTGATGGATTGGGCGTCGTTTGAGTGCTGTTCAAACACTGTCACTACGATTGACATCTGGTTCTCATTGACGATACGAATCAACTCCTCTTCGGCGCTGTCGAGACCCATATCGGCGGTCGACACGTCTGAACGGTATGTCCTCAACGCTGGCGGCGTTGTGTCCCAAACGACTAATTCAGTTCTGTCTCGAGTGGTCGTCACGCGAAGCACTTGAACCGCGAGGTCTGCGTACAGATGATAATTAGTGGACGACTTCTTTTCGCTAAGACTGTCTGCGAGCAGATCGTCGGCAAACCACTGGTTGAGCTCTTCCTTGCGTTGCCTATCAAACGACTCAAACGTCGGCCGAACACTAGTATTGATCGGCGAAAAGCATTGCGAGTCTTGAAACGCCTCGAAGACGACCACATCCTTGGGATCACAACAGATAATATCCATACAATTGGGCGCCAGTAATACGCGATGTATTCGCACGATATCTCCCGGTCTGAACGCCGGGTAGTGACGGAAAGAGCTGTTCCCGGGTCTCAACTGTATGGTCGATGTGAACGCCTTCTCATCCCTCAAATGAATGGTGTTTTTCTTAAAGTCCCGATACCTGAGGACACCATAGATGTGACAATAGGTCTTTCCGCTCACTGGAAACAGATTGTGTACTTCGATCAGAGTCTTGTATTCGTGTCGTCTTTGGCCACTCATTGTGGGACTTAAAACACTCGATAAAACAAAATACGAACCGAAGAGTGCGGTGTCGCGCATACGGGCGGCCTTCAGACCGAGCACTCGGTCGCGCCACTCGCCCAACGGTACGCGACGGCCAAAAGTGAGTACTTCGGCGCTCGTGTTGTTGGCCACTGCGGTCGGCGTCTCGTTGTTGCGCATGATTTTGGTCACCAGTAAATTCTTGCCCCGATTCAGCTCATTGTCGGTGATTTCCATGCAATAGCGCTTCCATTCGTAGGTCGTGTGCCATAAGAGGTCCTCCTGTTTCATGCGCTCCACAACCAAGTTGTCGAACAGCTGTTACACACCGGGAGAGAACTGTTACGAAACCTACACGTGATGTACAGCAGACTCACCTCTGCGGCCAGATTAAGAGCAATGGCATCGTTTGAGTCTCGCGGCGCGCCCTCCACTGCCAGAACGATGTGAGCCAAAGGCATGGCGTCGTCGCGGATACGTATGTCTGAACCGGTATATCGAGTGCGCGGAAGAATAGGAATCTCTGATTTGTCGTAAAGACTCGTTATTTTGCTAAAACTCTTGTCCACACTCTTCACGCTATGTATTGAGACAAACCATTGGTTACAATGAGAGGAATGAGTTCATCAATCAATCAATAGGCAAACCCTATTGATATACTTACGCGTCGTCGTGATGGACATCACCGGCCACTGCGACCACAATTCGGGGTCCCTTGAAGTGAGTGTTGACATAGTTTTGACAGTCCTCTCGAGTCAATTGGGACAACGACTCGGAGCGGCCGATGACTGGCAGTGCGAGTGAAGTGTTTTGAAAGGCCATTGCGTGCAAACCGTTCATCACTACCGCCTCGTTGTCTGCATCCGTGGCCGCCATCTCTCTGAAGACACGATTGCGTGCGTTCTCGATGTTGGAGAAGTCGGGAACCGATACCAATCGGCCCATAATCTCAATGCCTTTCGCGACATCAGTGGCCAAACAGCGGAGTGTGAGGTGAATGGTGTCGCGGC